CTAAAGCCGACAAAAAAGAATAATGCAGCATTTTTAAATGTATTGTTTTTCTATAATTTAAATATTATCTATTCTACTATTGGTAAATTTCGTAACATATTTCTTTTTCCTCCTCTTCATAATTTATTTGGTTTTTGTCAGATCAGATCAAAATCCTTTGCGTTAGTAATCATTGGTTTAGTTTTTATCCTATGTGTTGGCAATAAAATTTATTAACTAACTGCGTCAACAAAAATTATTTTTTGTTTATGTTTAATGCATAACTGCGCTTACAGAATAAAATACGTCATTTATTAGTGCCACTGATTGTCACAAGTCATAAACAAACAAATAAATAAACTTTTATTAGAATTACAATGCTTTCAGTATTATCACCTACTTATACTTCGATCTCCTCGTACATTAACTTCTACTTGTATTTTTATAAAATTACATAAATTGTAATAACACTAATTTTTTTAATCAATATAAGTTATAATTTTGCTAGTCTTAACAAATTTTTCTATTACGAATTGTGTCTAAATCGCCCGGTAGGTATATGTAAATAATTGGGTAATTTGCATGTTACAATTTCTTACATATTACTCAACATTTATTCAATTTTCGCTCCCTAAGCATAAAATTTTATGCTACTTTTAACTGTAACAAATCTTTTTGTAGAAAGTGAAAACAGAACTTAATTACGTTCTTATGACATAATCAATTAATATCCTAAACAACACCTTCACTTTATTACATGCAAAAAAAAACACTGACGGATATCTCAATTAAAAACCACTTTGTTTCACGCTAAAATAATCTTCTCACAATTACCTTGTCAAGCCGGTGATGTTGTCTACTCGTCTACTCCTATACAAACCAACCATTTTGTTCAACATACTTCCGTTGTACTTGAAATACAAATTATAAATCCCCGGATAAAGAATCTCTCCAGTTTCAACAATCAAAACTTCATCAATGACATTTTCTTCCACATTTTCAACTTCAACACTTTTCCAATCACGCATTAGATGCACCGATTCAATATTCAGGTTTTTGCTATTGACGATGAGGTCGTTCCTAGTTGCCATCACATTTACCGTTATGTTTACCGTTCCCGTGAAACTTCCCGTTTCCAGATCCGGCTTGAGGATGATATCGTAGCTGAGAGGAAAAGTGTTTCGCGGTAATCGCGAATGAACATATTTCGGCACTTCTTTAAACGTTTTAACCACATTTCGTGGCGCAGAATTATACACAATGTGTTTCCCGATGAGGACCAGAGCCGCCAAAAGTGAAGCACACACAATTGCAAGGAAAAGACAACAACTAAGTAACACTCCAAGAGTTTTCCGCGATTTCCGTTTCGGTTTTTCACTGCGCGATTCCGAAGTCATCGTTCATTGGAACATTTCACGTGGTTAGAGACCTGTTTCGAGTGCGTTACTCCGGTGCTGTTGGTCGAGTAATAATGGACAAAAGGTTCGTGAGTGCAGACATTACAGGTGTCTGATTAATATTCAACTGGAATTCTTACGGCGAGTTTCACTGGAGTTATGCGACTTTTGCACGATTTGAATTGCTCGTGGTTTGAGTTATGGGCTTCGGAGACAGATGGAAATGGAAGTAATTGTTTAGGTGATTTAGTGAGTGAGTGAAGGGAGGAGAGAATTAAATTACATTTAAATCAATGTTTTGATATTACGCTTACAACGAATTATGCGCTGACATTATTATTTACAGACCGGAGGAGAATGAGCCATACTAAAATTATTTGAAATATTGCACCTACATAAAATCTATCATCTGTATTTTTCAGCTTTGTTTTTAAGACACATTAAAGTTAAATTGATTTTTTTAATACGCAATACAAACTAAGTTTCATTACTGACTAAAAGGTACTTATTTCCATTACAGTTTGTACCTTTAAAATACAGGTGCGCCAGAACTCGCGCCCCAGAGAAAAATGCCATGTAACGTAGGTATGTAAGATACCAGAAACAAGGAAAAAACCTTTAAAAAATTTTATCTATAAAAAATTCGAAGTTATGATAGTTTGAATTTTGCATTTTGACTCTATTTATTTCTGTTAAAAAAATCATTTTCCAAGTTTTTTTGCTACGTCTTTTAGAAGACGAAACAAGGAAGCTGTATCCTAAATTGTAACTCTGTTTAATATTATTTGTGGTTTTTATTGACATTTTTTTGTTCCTTTACTAAATAATTATAAAAAAAAAAAACATATACAAGATCATCAGTATCATTAAATAGACAAAAAATATTAAATGTCAAAAAATAAATGTAACAGAATTAAAAAAAAAAAAATTTTTCATGTTCTTGGTATCCTATCTTACTTGAAATTTTTCTCTGGAGAGCGAGTTCTGACACACCCTGTATGTATAAAATGTATAAAGTCATATTTTTATTAATATCAAAATTGTTTTATTCTAAAAATTTATAATAAAAATTTGGAGAGCAAAAATTAACTAGAACCATCATCACTGTTTTGGTTTGTTTAGTTTTTAATAGATTATCTCTACTTACCAAAATCAATAAAAAATACACAAAGTTTTGAAGCGTTTGTTAACCGTTTAAGTTTAAAAAGTCTTGGCTAAAATCCTTAAATTAATATAAAAAATTACTGATATCGTAGGCGGCTCAAGAGAAGCAAAAAAAATGGGGCGTTTCATTTAGAAAAATCGAGCTATGTGCACCTATTTGAAGTTTCCCACACTTTACCTTAGATTTTACCCAAGACCTACTATCGTAAAACTCGCTTTTTTTGACCTACCGGCAATTTTTGTGTGGTTTACAGTAGCTTAAAAAATTCAAGTTCACGTTCAAAATTGAACGTGAATTATTTCAACAACAGTGCATCAACGGACTTAATTCGATTTTTGACGATGAAAAACCATTAAAAACTATTGTATACTGGTGGTATATTAAATTCAATTGTGTTTGCTCATTTCGTGAAAATCGTCCAAAATCAGTTGTTCTTTCAAAAAACGTTGATGCTGTGTGTGAAATGATATTGCAAGATCGTTGTGTGACATATCGTGAGATTGAAACATTTTTGGAGATTGTATTGTATTCCACATAATTCGGCAATCGCTTAAAAAAACGGCCGTGTCAAGTTTTCAAAGTAAAAGCTTAAAAAATAAGATCACGGTGCTTTAAAACACGTCTATAACATCATAACATATGACGAATCATGGATCTAGTGCGTATGAGTCCAAAAGTAAACTGCAGTCGCCTGAAAAAGCGGTTGATGCTTTTAAAATGCATGTTTGTTTCTTCACTCGGAGTAGAAAAAGTGTTTTAAAAATTGGTTCAAGCGCATGCATGATCTTCAAGGAAAATATTTTGAAAAATAATAAAGCCGTATACGATGGCTAATTAGTTCTCTTTGTTCTCCAACGTCCCTCTTAAAACTCCCAATACTTCTGTGGGGATTAGCCGAAACACTCTGTATAAAGAGGCTTTTATTGAACGTAAAATAATCGAAAATTTCAAAAGCGACTCAATGTTAGAATCACTTATAATAAACCGGTAGTTATAATCTAATCATTCAAGGTAGATAATAGATAAAACTCATAATAAAATTTAGACAAGCAAAATCTCTCAAATAAAATATTAATATGTCGCAATAAAACTTGGCCAAAAAAAAAAAACAGTTTTCACAAATCTGGATATTTTATTATTTTTGGATTCCTCATTAAATTACATATTGTCTTTTAACAAGCTCACTTCCCATTATTTATCACAAACTTTTGTTTTTTGGCAATTTGAAAATGAAATAAAATAAAGTAGGTAGGCTGTAGAAAGAAAAGAACATCTTATCTAAAACAAGCAAACGACTGATAATAAAAAAGTGTTTTTGATCAAAAAAGTATTGTAACGTCTTTAAAAGTAATGATGTAAAATAAAATTATGTAAAAAATAAACATTTTGCCCATAATTAACTACACGACTGGATTCATAGCTATCCAATATATATTTTCAACCAATTCGTTTTGTTTTTCTGAAAAATCTGAAGTTAGAGGTTAAATCTAATGATGTGACATTGCAATAAAATAACCCCGACATTGAAGAAGCTGGCTGACCTTGATTATGATTATTGTGTTACGTAGATGATGTGCTAAAGAAAATTACTTTTATTATTCACACATACATAATATGATGCTGTAGTCCAGATAATGATAGAATAGTGACAGAAAAGTAACTAAGTTGCCAACATCCTCCCCACAGAAATTTCGCGGGAAAGTACATTTTAGTAGGAATGTCTTAAAAAAAGCAGCTTTAATATTGCACACAGTAATATAACTGCGTTTCGGCGCTAGGGAATAAAAAGTTAATAATTTGAATGTTAGTCAATGTGTCCTAACCATGGAGGTAGTATTTACTATACTAGGTCCATGATCCTAACCTCCAAAAATTGTAATAAAAATATTTAGAATAAGTGCACACATCTTACCGCATAGTTGTGGAATATGTTGGTAACATCATTCATGGCATTCTCCATGGCACAGTTTTCCGTATTTTAAAACTTTTACAATAAAAAATGTCAAAATTCTGTCCGCGTAGGAATATTTAGTGCCATTTAGCATAGCTTTTCTAGTACGTTTCTTGTTATAAAGTTTTTCACCAAGATGTCAAAAAAGTAAAATCTATCAGTTTACAAAGTATAGTTGTTTTTTTTTTCATTTGTAACGTTATAAGAAGTTATGATAAATAACGATTAATGATAAACAAAGGTACAATAAAGAAAAGAATAAAAAAAACAGAAAAACACCTACATGTAGGAGTAAGTATGTACATTCTAGCACATTATCAAAAAAATAATATTTCGTTTGGAGAAAATAAAAACATTAGTGTCAACATTCCTGATAGAACTTGATTCACATTCGGATAAAATTCCTTATGTATAGAACCTATATTTACAAAATAAATAAAAATTATCAAATTTTTCAAATACGCCTTATCCAAATTATCAGATTATAATTTAATAAATATTGCGATTTAAGCTATCAGTTAAAATGTACCTGTGGACGAGTTTATTCGTAATAATTTTGATTAGAATAGTTCTATCAAAAATTATAACATTAAGTAAAGAAAACGTTATAATATGTGTTGTAACTAGAACTTATAATTATTCAACACTACACATTGATCCACCTGTTGATGTAAAGGGTAAGAAAATCAAATCTATTTATATAATAAAAAATTTATTACTTATCAATAATAGATTTGACGTCACATCATATTGTTAACAAAAACATTTATATAGAAACTTTGAATACGGCGCCAATCCAAAATCGGGAATATAAGTGCAAGGGAAAACATTACACAAATGTAAATTATGACCACTTCCAGAATAAACCTGGATATTTAGACGAACAATTCAATCTAACTTGTAGTGAAGTTTTGGGAATAAACTACCCATTTTGTGACAAGTACAAAATTTGTATAGGAAATCACTGTGAATGTGCATGGGGTTATGAAAAACCCGCTTGTACTCAAAGTGCTTTACTTTAAAATATCTTTGTATTCTGTGTTAACAGTAAATTTTCTAGTTTGTAAAAACGGCTACTGGGGCTTTAGTTGTCTTAGGAAATGTGACTTAGATTGTGAAGTATGTGATCCTAAAAAAGGTTGTATTTGTAAAAAACAAGTTGCACTACAGCCAATTGATGGATGTTATAACAAATTACACGATCAAATTATATTTCAACGAATTTTTATAACAATGCTAGGTCTTTTTCCATTAGTTATTGGAGTTGCCGTAATCATAACATTATATAAGAAGAAAAAAAAATCAAATACAAATATAGAAAGTATTCCATTAACTAAAATTACAATCGACGACGAAAAAAATAAAGATATGCAAACAAATACTTTTGAGCAGAGTTTCAAAATGGAAAAAAAGGTAAGTTAATCAAATATATGTTTATCAACACTAAAAAGAGCAACCGGTGCCACACTGTGGCGTTTTACTTTAAAAGTAACCAGAGTCCAAATTTCCGTTGCTTTACGCAAGAAGAAAAAATAGTACATATCCTTCAAAGTAAAAGGTCTTTTTGTGCTTCGACTAGTTGTCGGCCTCGACTTCGCTCGACCTTCAATCTCTGAGCTTAGTACAAAAAGATTCACTTCTAGTCTTACAAGGATATAATCTACTATTTTCACAAAGTTTGTTTTCTACAGGGTTTGATCATAATTTTCACCACTTTTAGGTTTCCCCACTTGTAAGTAACATAGAAAAGAATTACTTTGAAAATACTGTAATCGACAAAATAAAAAACAAACAAATAGAAGAAGAATTCCTTGTAAGTGTTTCATGTACGAGTATGAGATTGTAACACATGATTTTATCCATTTACTGCAGGCCATTCCCCATGTAACTAAAAAAACAACAAACATAGCTTTGGAAAAGATAAATATAAACAAAAATAAAGACAACAAGCATCTACCTTGTAAGTACCTACATAATTGAAAAAAAAAAGACATTTTTTTTTAGATGATCAAAATAGAGTTATCCTTAAGGATATGGAAGGTGTAGGAAAAGGAGATTATATCAATGCTAGTTATATTAATGTAAATTTGAGACTATTACTCAACAGAAAAAATTAAAAACAATTCACATTGCAGGGGTATAATCGTCCCAAGACCTACATTGCATGTCCTGGTCCCAAATTCTACACAATAAAAGATTTCTGGAGAATGATATGGCAAGAACAAGTTGAGACAATTATAATGGCTTCAAATTTCATAGAAAAACAAAACGTGTAAATCGTTTTAATGTTTTTAATACTATTTTACATTCTTCTTTAGAGAATGTCTGCTGAGTATTTTCCTCAAAAGTTAAACGGTATGTTTGAGTGTGGTTCAATTATAATTCTTTTAACCAAAGAAGAAAACTCTGAATGTTATATTAAACGTACAGTGGAAGTTCGTTATAATGACTGTGAAAGAATAATCCAACATTTCCAATTAAAAAAGCAACATTTTTTTTCCTCAAATAATTTGTTACCAATTGTAAAAAAGATGAGAACTAATTACAAAACAAGTTCGGCTCCGATTTTAATTCACTCCGGGTAATCTTCAAAGAAAAATTGTTTATAACAAATTTTTTTTTTAAAAATTCTAGTTTTGGTGCTAACAGGACAGGAACTTTGATTTTATGTGACTTGGCAATTCAAATGCTTGAACTTGAAAACAAAGTCAATTTTTATGAATTAGCAAAAAATTTACGAGAGCAAAGGTTTGGAACTGTGAATCAATTGGTAACATTTTTTCCTATTGTTTCTACAACTCACGAGGTGTTTTAGGACCATTATATTTTAGCTCATTTAGTTGTACTAGAATATTTAATGGAAGAACAATTTCCGTTTGAAACTAATGCTGAAGAAAATGTTCAAATTGCAGTAACAAATCAAAGACAAAAACTCGAGCGTCAGCTGAAATACGTGGAAAAGTTACATGAGCATGACAAAATCTTACAATCTTTTGGCCAAAAAACACATTTTCTTAATTGTCCAACAAATTTTGGTAAGTATTTTACATAATATTTTAATTGCCATTAAAAAAAAAATTAGTTCATGGCTATGAAATAAGCAAAAAATATATAATCACTCCAAAACCAAAAGGAAACTTAAATGCCAAATTCTGGCTAATGGTGGCTCACGAATCGACAAGCTGTGTTTTATTTTTAAACAAATTGGAACAAAATGTAAGTCAAAATATTTTTTAGAATAAAAAAAATAATCAAATGTAGGTTCGTCCTTTTAGGGAAGAAACTCGCAATTTCGTCATTAATATCCAAATTTTAAACCGTACTGATACCCCTTATTATATTTTAAGCAAAATAGCTTTATTGATTTATGGAAAACAATCAAAAATAGTAAGTTTTTCTGAAACAAAAGCTTCAGAAAATTATAATTTAAATTACAGGTCACATGTAAAAAAAATGTATCATTTTACGAATATAAAAACCATCCAAAACGATCACCAACTGTCAACATTTTAAAATTGATCTGTGATATCAAGAAACACAATCAGATTATAATTCCCAGCAGGTGAGTAAAATCGAATTTTTGACAAATTAATTAATTGACTAATTAATTCTTCACTAGTGATGGTGTTGAAACAATTGGTATTTTCCTAGTTTTATCTTACGTAATACGAAAATATGAAACTGAAATGGCAATAGATGTGTGTAATGCAATACGTACAGTAAGACAAAGTGACGTTCGATTCGTTAACACTTTGGTAAGTTTAAATCACACAAAAACATTGTTTTACATTGTTTATTTTTACAGAAAACATTAGAATTTATTTACACGTGTATATCAGAATATTTAAGAAATTTCGAAGATTATAATATTATTGATACGTAGCTAACAAAACCGATTTTAAACAAATAATAGACTCGATTGAATGTTGTAAATCGAGGCGACAGACCTGCTATATGCGCTCTAATTATAACATGAGAAATTAGCCAAATTTCATTATTTACTGTCCACTACCGAATAACCTCGACTGTAAGTGTATACTTGCCTCCGTGATATTAAAGTTCAAACTGTGAGGTTGTGGTAAATTTTACTACTTAACCTTGTTCTCGTTGGACAATTGTTTTATATTAATTAAAAAATCTGGTGTGAACATCACACGACTTTCCTTATTTTACTTATTTGGAAAACATCCTTACGACAATAATTTAGTGTTGGAAATTCGAGTAGCAAACCTAACTTTTGCGTTAGTGCTATTTGCCGGATTACACGCGAAATAGATCTTAGTTGTCGCGGTCGAACGGTGCGACCGATTTTTACCAATTGTTTCGTGCTGCGTCCCCCCCTTTCCTACAAGTAACTTATATACCAAATTTCAAGTTTCTAGCTCTTATCGTTCTCGAGTATACTGTTTACAGACAGACACACACACATACCACAAACCAACATCTTTGGTGTCTTGAAGCTATAATTCGGCCAGAAATGTAAAAATATAGGTAGGTCAAATTTCAGCCAATTACAATACTTTCCTTATAGAATAAGGAAAGTATAAAGAAAAAAATCTGATGTAAACTTCACACAACTTTCTTTATCCTACTTATTTGGAAAACATCCTAATAACGACAATTATTTGGTGTAACCTTTGCGTTAGTGCCACCTGCCGGATTACGACACAACACACTTTTTACACACAATGCGTTTCAATCATAAAGTTATATTCTCACCTGAAGATAAGTGGTCATCTGAAATGCGTTGTGTTTAAAATAAAAGTTTGTTGTGTCGGGTTTAAATTGTATTTGTGTTCCTTATTTCCACACCAAGAAGATCCAACAAGAAATATTCATCAATAATAAAACAACATAACCACAGCATACTATAACATAATTTTTAACTAAATTATTCATTATTTTAGCCCTAGCTTACCAAAAAAATTATTAAGAAGCCGTGGATGTCGACAAAAATAGAAGAAATAAATAAAATTAAAATAAATAAAGCTGTATCCGAAATTGTAACTCTATTTAATGTTATTTGTGGCAAAATTTTTGTACCTTTTCTAAGTAATTGTAAAGAATATATACAAGATCATCAGTATCATAAAAAATTGTCAAATGTGAAAAAATAAATGTCAAAATTTTTTTGACACAGAATTTTTTAAACATTATTTCCATGTTCCTGGTATCTTATCTTACTTGAATTTTTTCTCTGAGGAGCGAGTTCTAACACACCCTGTATATGTATATCTTTTTTATATTTATTAAACATTTAACCTACGACAAACACAGTAGCCACAAAACACTAGAATGAACAAAAAATACATTTCCAATCCCAGGAATAAACAGAAGAATAAAAAAACTTTAGTTTTATTGCACTTATAAACATTCCAATTTAAAAAAATCGTTTCTTTAAATTTTGTGCAAGTCATGTTTTTTTTTAATTGTATAATTGCATTATCAGTTTAAAGCATCGCCGTCTTCATAGAAATAATCCTTTTCTCGCCTGGGCATTTTTTGAGTTCAAGTGATTCCCGTTGGCGCTTTAATCTGGGGAAAATTTTTAACAAATTCAGTTTTTTAGCTTAAAGGGTTCAATCTCATAATATCAATTCTCCCTGGCGTATTTAGTTTTGTTGTATCCTTCCTTCACAGCATTTATTAATTGCGTTATTTTTCGTTAATAATTAAAAATTATTCAGTTTTTCCTTAGTAACCCCCGTAACTAAGAAAAAATCGGAATCACTGCTCCAATGCATTTTTTACGAAACGCCCAGGCGGGATATTGATACATTTGATTAAGGAGGCGATGGTCTAAAGTATTTCAAAATTGATGAATCGATGTATTTTGTATACTTGCAGTAGAATTTAGAAAAGATTACCAAAAAAAAAAAGGAAGTTAACCGCAATTAACTTCAAAATCCTGAAATCTGATTGGTGTTCATCAAAATTCAACCAGTCACGTAACGAATTAACTTTAATTGCAACGAAATATTTAATTCGGCTTCTATAAACCCACCCTTATTAATCTTATAATCTTCACTACAATAATTATTAATAGCAGTAAATGTTTCGAAATATAATTGTTTTATTTGTATTGTAAAATTTACTTCAAATTGTCTGATAGTAGTATCTATAACCTTAAATATAATGGCTGATGAAACAGCAAAATTAATATTTTGTAATTAATTTTTACACAAAACACATGCGTAGCAATTTTTGCAGTATTCTGCTAAAAAATATAGAAAAAATCCTACCTTTGTTGTCCTGCTGGATTCGTGTACGAACTCGTGTACAACCCCACAATTCGGTTCTTCATATCCCCATCAAAATCAACAGTTATGTTAACAGAACTACCCTTCACAAACTGTGTTCCGTCTAATTTTTTCACAGTGAGAAGTTCATATTTTTTATCCAATTCAAAAGTTCCTGGTTGATCATTGATCAAAACTTGACTCACATTTAATTTATTGTTATGCATTGCAACTTCATTCGTCGTCTCAACAATATTTGTTTCAGCGGTAACTCGTCCTTTGAAAAGTCCTGTTCTCAAGTCAGGATAAAGGTAGAGGTCGTAAATGGTTGGTATGGCGTTCCCTGGCAGGCGATATTTAGACATGTCTGGAGGAGTTTCTGTTGTTGTTGTTGTTGTAATTTTTGTTGTTGTAGCAGTCACTAAAGAAGTTGTTTTTGTAACAACTCCTGATGTAGTTGTGATGTTTTCGTCGAGTTTTGTTTTTAAATCAGCATTTTCAATTCCTAGTACTATAGTCGAAATTCCTAATGCTGTTGTAGCTACAATAAAAAACAACAGAATTTTATGAGCAAAAATGAACGAAAATAAAGACATTTTTAAAGTCGCACGTACAACAAAACAACTACCGCGAAAATACTCACTATATAGAAACATTTTATTTCTTATTGTAACATTTTGTTATCTGTCTTTTTAATCATCTCCTAATCCCATACAATAAGAGCAAATTATTATTTTACACTCTTATCAAAAGGTAAAATATTTCTAAGCAAAGAATCAGTCATAACTGATGAGTTATGTATTACATATTAGCGTTGACAGGTTATTAATATTATTATTGATAAAAAACACTTATAAATGGACAATTTAAAAAAATTTAATGTGAAATAAACCAAACATTTTTCACAATCTGACACCTATATCATGACAAATGACACATATTTTAATTTTTGTTCAATTGTAAATATCGTATGATTAAACAATTTTAAAAAAATATATGAAAAGATTCATTTATTTTTCATAAAAACATAGTATATTACAGTATAGTATAGTAAATTAAATATATTAACTTTTAAAAAAATTTTAACGAGGTTATAGCCTAAAAAATTATTCCCAATTGATCAAGAATAACTGTTTCAGTTGGGAACAGAATAGAAAGCATTTTCTTTTCTGCAATTTGCAACCCTAAAATATCTGGTTTAAATTTGAATATGTCCAATGATAGTACAGTTGGAGACAAAATACTTTGGCCGTCACTTTTCTGACACTTTTGTAATTCAAGCTTTAACATTAAAATGAATGACAATTTCAAATTAATGACAGCTATTATATTTTCCTATCAAAAATATGTACATACAACTTGTCAACTATGATTGACAGTAGCTAAAAATAAGGTTAACAGTCCTAAAGCATGCTTTACAATTGAATCTCACTCAAGTGACACTGACGACCAAAGTATTTTGTCTCCAACTGTACTCGTCGAATAAATAACTATTGACTTTTAATTACTTCCAAAATATGTGCAAATTATCTCAGATAATAATGCTTAAATGTCAATAAAAAGTAAATACCATGAAAAGTTAGTCTCAAGCTATCAACAACCGTAGGTGTTGTACTAGTCCACAGTTGTAATGCGGTTTAATATAATACTAGAGGGCGCTTCTTAATATACAGAATGCGCCAGAACTCGCGCCCCAGAGAAAAATGCTATATAAGGTAAGATACCAGGAACATAGAAAAAATGTTAAAAAAATTTTATCTATAAAAATTTCGAAGTTATGAGGGTTTAAAGTTTGCACTTTGACTCTGTTTATTTCTGTTGGAAAAATAACTTTCCAAGTTTTTTTACTATAGGCTATTAAAAGAGGAAACAAGGAAGCTGTATCCTAAATTGTAACTCTGTTCAATGTTATTTGTGGCTTTTATTGGCAAAATTTTTGTCCCTTTACTAAATAATTTTAAAAAAACATAGACAAGATCATCAGTATCATTAAATAGATATAAAAAAATGTCAAATATCAAAAAATAAATGTCAAAATTTTTTGACACATAGGATTTTTTAAACATTTTTTCATGTTCCTGGTATCTTACCTTACTTGAAAATTTTCTCTGGAGCGCGAGTTCTGGCGCACCCTGTATACTTACAATTGTTTTCAGAATAGAGAAACAAATTATTTTATTGTTTTCAGAAAAAAAATTATAAAATATCAAGTAGAATAGAAGAGTAAGCTAATGTAATTATCATAAAAAATATGAAAACGTATTGTAATGCATCGAGAATTTAGTCAGGTTCATTATTCCTCGTATTTGAAGAGTTTTTACATAAGAATTAAAAAATAATGTATAAGTATGTAAGACAAGGTTTTCCACCGTAATTTTTATTTTTTTTTCTCACTTTTCTTTAGTGAATTGCAATATTATTCCTGATACTTACATCGTTTTCTAATGTCGAGTAATTAACTAAATACGTTTTTATAAACAGACCTCGAGAGTTTTTCTGAGAAAACCCATAAAACTTGGAATATTTACGAGGGTCAAGTCAAGCCACCCCCGAGTGGTCGATGATCGAAACCAGATGTCTTTAAGACTGTGAGAACCAATTCTCCAAAAATCGTCGAGTTAGAATTAGTTTTAACCCACACTTCATCGGGGTAGTTTGAGTTCGAGTGTGAGTGTTTATTACAAATTATTATTCAAAGGTGAGTTTGTCACTGAGTAATCTGGGTTCCATTGGTGTGAGTGAGTTATCACAGAGTAATCTTGGTTCTATTGGTGTGTGATATTTTCCAATCCAATAAGAGGTAGAGATTCGTGATATTTGCCATATCAACGGTAGGGTGAGTCGTTTAATAATTATTTTAATCGCTGTGATGTTGATATTTATCATTGTTGAAAACATTCATCAGAAACCTGGGTGAGTATTGAGTAGGGTATCAAACTGTAGTTGATTTGATGCGCTATAAATTAGTTGATGGTATTTAATTGGAAGATATTGAAGTTGATAATATTTTATGAGATTGATATTTGAATTGATTGTTGATAATTGATGAATATTATTAAGTTGAGCCCCGACATGTCGAGCTAAACTATTAGTCTGTCTATCCTCTTTTATCCACGGCTAGTCGTCGAGCAGGACGGGTCAGTGGGATACTACCTGTCCATTGCACCGCTGAGTCTAGTCCAACAGGTGACTCTGGAGGGTCACGGCGTCGTGAGGCCTCCAGGTCTYGTTTTTGTTTTGTTTGTGGGGTTAGCACTCTGGAGCGGCCACCGCACCTGCGCCCATTGCACAACCAGGTCTAGATGAAGAATAGTCTCTGGAGGAGGGGTGCCAAAAGGTGGTCATTGCACTCCCAGTGCCCCGTTTGGTTGAGGTATCCTGGAATGAGCCCATCATCGGTGT